ACGATAGGAACAGAAGCTCACTTAGAAATCATAGAATCAAGTACATCAAACAAATAATCAATATATATCAAACACGACCCCTACTGTGGCACCAGGTTAGCGGACTACACAACAAGACCATAAAAAGGAGAGAACCCTCTTGATTCAAAGAACTCACTACGACAGCACTAAATTTTATCCAACATCAGAATAACATCAACATCCTTAACAGGTTCTCACAAATCAAACTTGCAAACAACAGCACTAGCATATCTGCTTGGTACACTGCATATATCAACAACAGCCTTATCATAGGCAAACATATCATCAACAATGCTCAATACACCAAGCTCAGACATTATAAACACACTAACCACTCACCCCTCGACATTTGTACAGGTTGCGAAGCTACAAACACCCAGGACAGAAGAAGTGACAACTGTCACATTAATATTCCCAACGACAACCTAGCAAAAATACTGGTTTCCCTAACAACATGTTCCACCACATCAGAGGATGATAAAAAACTAAAATTGCGGACACAATCTCCCCTAGCAGTATTATGAAATGGTGGACAAGACCTAACCAACAAATGGATGCCGTTATAATAGACTCACATCCTCGACATATCACCACGCTAAACAAACTAATAAGACTCTCAGACAGTACCGCCAACCACCTTATAGAGATATATAACAACCTCCGCCACTCTAATATAACTCACATATTCTGTGATGGTGCATACAACCCAACAAGCACTCCAAATCACTCGGGCATCAGCATCAAAATCACCAGTAATTGTATAACAACATTTGAGTCATCAATCAAAATCAAGGTCAAAAGCTCGAGCAACCTGGCTGAATTACTCGGCATAGCCATAGCGATCAACTTAACTGCATACAACACTACAACGCATATATACACAGACTCACAAACAGCCATCGACAAAATAGCTAAAGTGAATCAATCCACAACCTGAAAACGCAAATTCATCAGAATAACTGATTATATACACAACACCATAGAACAAAGACATCTGACCGTACACTGGCACAAAGTCACAAAGTCACAAAGGACAACCCAGAAGAAAATCATGATCATGCTGATCAATTGGCAAAACAATCCCTGACGTCACCGAACCCTCTCTCCACCACCTTGACCAACTACATCAACAATCCGAACTTAATCATTTACAAAGCTTATGATATGGAGATCACACAGAACATCAAAAAAGCCATCAACAAAATCCAACAAGCCAGACAGACAATAAAAATCTCATCACCACACACCTGGAAAACAGTAGAACCAAGAAAACTATCAAGGGCATAATCAATTGTATCAGACTCATCACCCTCACCATCTGTGAAGACAGATGCCAACACCTTTGGACTTGGGAAGCCAGCAAAAAGATAAACAAAAAAACAGCACGACCTCGCAATCCCACGAGCACAGTTAGCAACCTTACGACCCGAACACCACCAACCATCGACTCGGACCTAATACAAAGCATACTAATGAACGCATTTCTCTATATGACATCTACAAACTGCACACTAACGGAGCCTAGGCACGTTAGTTTTTCTCTAATGAGAAACAACAAGCCACAGGGGGTTTTTTTGACAAACTGGCTTTTTTAGAAGGTAAAAGGATTCTGCATAGAGAAAACTGAATACTGAATCACTCTATATATCAAAGTAATATGTATCTGAATACATCTAATAAAGTGGGTCTGTTTTAGAGTGCAAAAAAAAAAAAAAAAAAAAAAGTAATATTCAATTGGCACTCTTTCTTCTGATTCTCTGACCATATATAAAAAAGATGTTTATAAGAAGTCATTGTACTTTTTGACTAATAAAGTCTTACCACTCTCTTTAAATCAACTTAAAGAATACTTTAAAAGCCATCTACACTCCCTTTGTATATTATTCATGTACTTCTTTTAACAAAAACTGAACTTCTGTGACCAAAAGTCTAGAAAACACCTTTTATATCAATAGCAAAAAAGTTTTAAAAAAAGAAGAACTAATGCTTTGTTATCTATCAAGTATACAAAAAAATACCATAGAGCTGTTTTGTGATATAAGAACTAACTTTCCACTTTTTTTTCCACTATGTGAACTCTAATAGTATTCTTTTTTAGTTTTTTCTGAGGAATTTTGCCTATCTCAGTTTGACCCTAAATTTTAAGTAGCACAAATTTCTCATAAGCTAATTGACTCAATAGAATTACATAAGTAAAAGAATATAAACAAGCTTCTATTGATTACTTTACATGTCTGAATACATTTTCTCAACTTCATAAGAATCTAGGATTCATTATAAGTCATATTGCCTGGTATAGATAAATATAGGACACATTATAATACATTTTTAAATACAAGAAAAAGTCAATCTAACCATAATAAAGATTACAAGAGCTTGATTAACCTTTTGAAAATCAGAGTTATCTACTCTTAATTGAATATCAAATAGATTTCTGCTCCTATTGCTTGGAAAAATCCAACTGAAAAAAGTGAAAAAGATAACTATATACACTTAGTGGTAAAGCTAATGTATATAGTAAATCAGGAAGTTTTCATCTTATCTTCAAAAAATCACAAGCTAGAAAACAGAAAGGTTAACACTACTATATTAATTAAAACTTGAGTCTAAAAATGTAAGTAATAACGTGTGAGTCAGTTAGATAATCTGAAAGATCCTTGTTAATCACTAATACCAATAGCCACCAGTAGGATATATCAATTATGAGACTAGGTACAATCCTTTTATAAGGAATTAAATCTGAAATATATTACACAAATAGATAAGTATACCCATATTTAAATAGGAATGAATTTAATTGATGATATACTAGAAGACTTTCAAGTCATTTATGCAGATGTCAATATATTACCTGGGCCTTCCTTATTACTTCCTTTCCATAAATCTTAAAACTGTAAAGTTTTTCTCTTTATTTTTATCTTATTTTTATAAAGATTCAATAAAAGCTTCTTCAAAATACCATCAAGAGGAGAACTTAGAAAACAGGATAGGCATTTACTAAGAAATATCACAATTATTCTTTCAATATAGCACATGGCCATTCCTTTTATTTTTCTTTTATTTTTCTTTAATAACATTAACATACTCAATAGGATGTTGATTTCTTTTATAAAAAAGAAAGCAATAAGTCTTGAAGTAGCTTTAGCTTATCGAATTCTTTATTTATTCCTCAAATATACATCCCCTGTACATGCACTTTGTACAATTGTATAAATGTAATTTGGAAATTAATAAAGATTAGGCATGAACCCATTAATAAAAAAATATTCAATTAAGATAAACATATTTAAAATAGTAAAATAAAAGTATTAATAAATATGTTAAAAAAAAACTCTTTTCGCAAATTCCTCAGATCCTTAGAAATTTACTTTTTAGGTGATTTATCCAAGGAAAAAGAAACATCTATAATTCAAGACACATATTCTTGCAATATCAACATACAACAGTCATCTTAGCACAAACAATATTTCGTGTATAGCCCTAGAGCAATAAATTGTTAGAAAATATATATACTGTATATAGCAACAACTTTGACTTTTTCTCCTTTTTTAAGAAAAAGAAAAGAAATCAACATAAATAGATCTATAGTCAGAAAATGGGAGCCAATATCAACTTCATTGTGCTTGCAGCCAGGCCAGTACAGATTGACACCTTTCTTAACATTACAAGGAATCTTAAAGAAAATAGATTTACTCAATAAATCAAGCAAACCTCAAATCTCTCAAGATCCAGAAGAATATCAAAACTTTCCAAGATCTAAACAGCTTAATGTATATACTGTAGCAGGCTAATTGGTGAGTCTGTCATTAATAACCAAAGGCTCACATAACCTGTAGATAGAAGCATTCGTCCTTCTATCATATACATAAAAAACCCAATAATCAAGGTAGAAGTATAAAAAGATTTGGGCAAGTCTTAAGATAGTTTTCTCTAAAACTACTTATAACTTCACTGTTATAACAATCTATCAAAAAGATTCGTCTTATAATTCGTTATTTTATTAAGTTATTAAAGAAAGTTATATTTATATATTTTTGCACATAGGGCTATTACATAATCACTATGGCTATTCTAGTATTGTGTCATGTATAAATTGCTTGTAGTCAGCTAATTTTCTATTACCTCAGCTCATAGTTTTTTACCTTTTTGATATAAATGGATTATTTGTGCATTCTTCTATCTTGCAAGGGATATAGTGATAGTTGACAATTGATTGTTTCACATAAGCTTCAGTCATGTCATTATTGTCAGTCACGTAATCACAGTAAGAATTCTAAACTTGGTCTAACTTCCTTGGCCTTTAATAATACTCTTCCTTACAAACATCAAAACACCTAGCCAAAGTAACGTGAGCATGTACATATTATAGACTTATTGTTAAAACAAGTTTGATAAAGAGTTATCACAATAATATAATAAGAGCAAATAAATTTGGCAAGATCTTTAATCACAATATCATCACAAGATGTGATTTATATAAACAAAACAGTAGGAATCTGTAATACAATATTATAAACTAGTGTAAACAAGTAAACAATACTAGATAAAAAAGGGATAAACAATACATGTTTAATTTAAACAAAATCAAGACACATTAAAATAGGAAATACTAAAACAAAAAGCAAAATATGTAAAAGATTTTTCTGATCCATATGACTTTAGCAACACTACATGATTTGTTTTCTATCATTTACTCTTTACATATATAATAAAATCAGATAGAGAAGATTCTACAAATAATAGATAAAAGGAAAATGAATATTATTGATACTCTAATTTGACTTGCAAGAAAGCATAATGAATATAATGAACAATGGGTTATACAACAAATAGCCAGACAGGAGTAAGCCATCATTCAAGTAGGAGAAGAAGCATCAGTTCCAGAAATCTGTACAATACTTGATAGTATTATTGTGAATATTTTAAAAGTAGACAAGATAACATTTAATAAAGAACAAATCTTAATACAATATATAACCTATTTTTGGTAGCTTGGAAAAGGAAAAGAAGAGAATCTGCTTCAGTTACATATCAAAAATGAACTTCTTAAAATAATTAAAAAAAAAAAAGATATATCAAAAAATATAAAAATCCTTCCTATGGAGATCATTATCTAGATAATGAGATCACATTGTCTAATATTCAAGAACAAGAAAAAATAGAAAAGAAAATAGAATTCGAAATACTAAGAGAAAAGATCAAAGATCAAAATATAAGTGAATATAGTTTATACAGTACA